CTAGGCCCCAAGCCCTAAACCCTAAGCCCTAACAGGAACCCTTATAGGGTTTAGGGTTTAGGGTTACTTCTAGGATCCCTTAAGATCCTAACGGAACCCTCCAAGTAACCCCACCGTTGCCTCCAGAACGCGCCTTCTCAGCCGGCTGCTGTGTTGCTGCAAACCTTAGCAGCTTCGGATCCCACCGACAGGTTTAGGGTTTAGGGGTGTAGGGTTTTAAATATTTTTTCTTTTTTAAGGGCCCTTTTCTGTCTGCACGAAGGGGTTTAGGGATTAGCGTTTAGGGATATCTGGTAATCTAGGGTCTGGATAATTAAAAAACGGTTCTATCAGGGCTCGGTAAGGGATACGGCTACGATCTGGGCTTGGTATAGGGGCCTTAATCATCCAAAAAGGGTTTGGGGGCACATAATCTTATACCCGACATAAACCCTAAACCCCCTAAGCCCAAAAAACTCAGTTCAAAACCCCAAACCCCTAAGCCCTAAACCTTAAAAACTAAAACCCTAAGCCCCAAAAACCTAAGCCCTAAACCCTAAACCCTAAAAACTAAAAACCCAAAACCCTAAAACTAAAAACCCTAAACCCTAAAACTAAAAACCCAAAACCCTAAAACTAAAAACCCTAAACCCTAAAACTAAAAACCCTAAACCCTAAAACTATGAAGCCCTTTCGAAATTTCGGATGGGGCTTGAAAGCTCGACTCTTAGCGTTGTCGCCATTTGGGGCAGGCCCAGCAAACCTTCATCTTCGCCTTCCCATCTTTTACGTGGAGACTAAGGGAGGGACCCTTAAAGGGACCCTTGGGGTTATATAGGGGCGTTGTGAGACTATGTAAGGGGTATAGAAGGGTTATATAGGGTATCTGTACTTGGAGGTTCATGGGTAGTTGCAAGTCTCAATATCAGTTGTAAGTGTCCTACTTATAACTCCACATAAGACCATGAACCTCCTGGCAGAGACGAAAAGGTGCAGCTGTTACTCAGACGGTTAAGGCTTTAGGACATCATGTAGCTGAAGAGTGGTATGCCATGGAGTATGAATAGGCGATGTGTGAGTTTGAACAAGTAAGGCCGAAAAGAACAGGATACTTGCAATTAGGACCCCTTGATATGGCGCCCCTGTTTGACACTTCCCATACAATCTCAGGCATTGTAACCCAGTGCTCGGCCGGGATAAAGCCCATACCCTGAACTACCAGCTACAAATCCCAAATCCGCGAACCTAAACCCCCTAAACCTTAAACCCTACACAGTCAAAGCGACGCCGCCGAGCCATCTGAGTGTGATCCACCTGCACGGTCTCAAGACGAGGCTCCCCTCAAAAACAAGTATGTCGGGTTTCGGGTTTGGGGCCATGGTTCCTTGTCGGTTTGATTGAAAAAGGACATCCCAAAACGAAATAGTCATAACACCCTACATCAGAACAGGCATAAAAACCCTAAACCCTAAACCCCGAAACTAAAGACGTACAAGGGTACTG